CCTGGAGGGGGTCAGCTGATCTGCTGCACCCCTGGGTCCTGATCTCTCCTGCTGCCAGGGGAGGGGCTCCCTGAGCAAGAGCTGAGAGATACTCAGACCCACTAGGGTCACTTGGGGTGGACGCTCCCTCCCCATTAGGGGAGGAGGAGCAGCTGGGACAGAAGGGCCGGGGCTGGCAGCTCTCTGGGGGAAGAGGCCTAGGCTCTGTGCCAGGTATGGCTGCTTGTAGGGCTCTGGCGACCACAGCAAGTGCCTGCAGGTACGGGCGGGGCAGACGTGAGGCCTCAGCAGGCCTGGCTGACTGACATGCTCCTCAGGCTTCCTCAGAGGTGGTATTTGGAGCCGATGCTCTGGCTGCTGGCCCAGGTATTTAGTGAGGAAAGGGCAAAATAAATCGGTGGGGGGTCCTGGCCAGGGGGCTGTGGGCTGACAGAGGCCTCAGAGGTAGCCCCGGTCTTTCAGACCAGAGGGAGACTCTCTCTGCTATTCCCTCCTCCTCATGGACTATGGGCCCTGAATGGGCCTTTCTGAGAGACAGACACTCTTGAGAGAATGAGGTTGTGCTCAGTGCTTGAAGCTCGGGCCCTTTCTCCCTCCCATTGTCCCGGGAGCAGTCCCCTTGAAGAGCCAGAAAATCCAGTACAACCACTAACCTGAGTGGGCCAAGGTCCTGATAGTGACGTGGGGCCCAGGAGGACACAGAACTAACCGGAGGGAAGGTGGGGCCAGTGTCTTATTTGACATTCACTATCTCCCTGTCACATTGTTCTGGTACCTTTCTATATTCGTTTGCTAGGGCTGCCATAACAAAGGACCACAGACTGGGTGGCTTAAACACTAGCAATTTAATTATAGTTCAGGAGACTAGAAGTCCAAGATCAAGTTGTCAGTGGGATTGGTTTCTTCTGAGGCCTCTCTCCTTGGCTTGTAGATGGCTGTCTTCTCCCTGAGTCTTTACACGGTCTTCCTTCTATGTGTGTCTGTGTGCAAATTTCCTCTTCTTATAAGGTCATTTTGGATTAGTGCCCACCCCAATGGCCTCATTTAACTTTAATTATCTCCTTAAAGACCCTATCTTCAAATAAAGTCACATTCTGAGGTACTGGGGTTAGAACGTCAATATACAACTTTGAGGTGGACCCAGTTCAGCCCATAACACTCTATCTCAGGAAGTTTTATTAGTTTAGTTGGATTGGTGGCTAGCTAGTCTAGCCACTAGGAGACTTGTCTGAGTCCTGAAAATAGGTGCCAGGGATTGGGCTTAAGTCCCCCAGGGAGTTAAATATTTACTAGGGTGGCTGTGGGTTTTTACTGGATGGCCTGACTGGATGGTTTACCACCCACCTAGGACTACGCGCTTAGCACCTCCCCACTTTAGACCCGGCTGGGAACCCACTTGAGTGTCCCTGTGACTGAGGAGTCCTGGCCCCAATGTCATCATCTTTCCTAGAGGATGGCATAAAAGGTAGATTTCAGTCCCTCAGCTGAAAGCCAATGCTATCCAAGATTGTGACTATGGAACTATGTTTAGCTTCTAAATGGAGGCAGGTATAAAAGGTGGGCTTTCTTCCTTCAGAGAATATACTTGTATAGAATTCCAGTGGAATCAGATCTTTTTAGAGCTCAGAAATCTAAACAGCACAAAGTGAGAGCATTTGGTGAAAATCACGGTAAATATACAGCATCGTTACCATACCTCACCCCGCCCACACACATAGCAGACATTACCAATCAATCGTAGCACCACAGAGCTAGGGTTCATCCTCCTTTCCAGGCATTAAGCCAGAATTGGCGCTCTGGACGAAAATCATTTGCTCAGTATTACTACAGTGATAACTGAATAGTATCTATCTTTTCCCTTCCTCATGAAGATCCATGGCAACCTCAAGCAGTGGGACAGGACTGTCAAAGGCACCATCGGGTGGAGTTGTACCCAGATGGTCTTGCTCCTGTGTTTGACACTTCTACACCACTGCAGATCCTCTTAGTCCCAACCATCACAATTCTGAGCACAAACAACCAGACAGGGCCTTGCTCTGAGCTTGTGTCCCCAAATCTCTTCTTTCCTGCCCCAGAACTCCCTTGGTACTACAGCTGGGACTCCTTCAGGGACTCACCTGTTCTTGCATATGCCCAATTCCAAAGCATGGAGGTGGGGCCACCTTTGACCCATGTGGGATAGAAGACAGTGAGAAAATGCTTCCCTCTTTCATTCCCCAAGATAGTTTTGAGGTATAATTTATAAGGCTCTGCAGAACATTCCAGAAGAATTGAGCACTGGCCTCCTTGATTACACACACATTCTTGTCTTGGCTTTCCCAGCTTCCCTGTTCCACTGCCCTGACATTTATTTCTCCTCCCACATGAACTACCTGCACCCAGACACTTGTCTCAGGCTCTGCTTCCAGGTGTGTGGGGGAGAACACCTGGATGCCCCCCTACTCTTTTTCCTCCCCGTGCTTGGAATAGGTGTCTATGTCCACCCTGCCTCTGACAGTTCATGTCTGTCCTAAATCAATGGCCACTTATATCCACATAGTGTTTCATAGTGGACAAGGGACATTCCCGAGCATGGTCTAATTTTGAGCTGCACAGTAAGCTCCAGGGTGGGGAGGCAAGAACGCTGTGACTATCCCCATGTAGAAGAGGAAACTCAAGTTCAAAGCCCTGCTCAGGGTCGCACAGCTAGTAAATGGTCAAGTTCCAAGGCTACTCAGGAGCTCCAACCCCAGCCCAGCTCTCCCCCAATCCACCACAGCTGCCTCCGCGCCCCCATCGGCCTCTCTCAGAAGCAGGGCCAGGAAGCTGCTCTGACTGTCACGGTTCCGAGCCTTTCGTGTTCGTAAATGTTGTGGTGAAGGAAACAATAGCGTTCCTCTCCGTGTCCTCCCTTCTCTGCGGAAGTAACCGTGTCCCCCTGCCCCTCGGTGCCGCGCTGTTCTTGGCGTCTTTCACTGCCACCGCTCTGCTCACGCTGGCTTATAAGCTCACGGTGGCGGCTCCATCCGAAGCCAGGCTCCATCCACTGCCCCTCTCTGCCCCTCTCTGCCCTGGCAACAGCCAGGACCTCCCAGGGAGGGCTGCGGAATGCCAGGCTGTTTGCACTGCACCCGTCTGCTCGTGGAAAAACTGGGTGGGAAATCTCTGCTCTGAATGGGAAAGTCGATTACTTTTTTGCTTCCAAACTTCATTTCAACATGCACTGGGTTCTTCCCTGAGCTCACGTTGCCCATTGAAATGACTCTCAGAAGAAAGGAGCGCCCCCACGTGGCTGTATTGTGTTTCTCCTCCAGTGGCAAATCTCTGCCAGGAAGCTCTATTGTTGGATGGAGGGACTGAATCGTAAGGAAGTTGGGGCGGCCTCTCCAAGGTCAAACAACTAGTGAGTGGCAAAGGTGTGATTTGAACCTAGGACCTTGCCCACAATGCTGTATTGCCTCCCGAGTGAGGTATGCGTGGCGATCCTTCCTTATAACCACCCTGGGTGTTACACTGAAAAAAACTGGTATAATACCTGCTAATCTATTCTCAGTGCAACAGTCAGAGTGATACAAATGAGTATCAGATCCTGTGGGTCATCTGCTCAGATTCCTCCAGTGGCCGCCTGGCCTCATCTACCACCCCCAGCCACATAGCCGCCTCACTCCAACACATCAAGCACACTCTCCTGCCGGGGCCTTCACACTTACTGTTCCCTGAGCCTAGAATGCTCTTCCATTAGAATCTAAGATCTTGGCAGGGCGTTCTCCTAGACTTCTTTTAGGTGTCTGTGCAAATGTCACCTTTGCAGAGCAGCCTCCCAAAATAAAACAGCCCAGAATGTGCC